CGGAGGCGGACTCGGCGGTGGAGGCGGACTCGGCGGCGGAGGTGGCCTCGGCGGCGGAGGTGGACTCGGCGGCGGAGGCGGACTGGCGGCGGAGGCGGCGGAGGTGGACTCGGCGGCGGAGGCGGACTCGGCGGCGGAGGTGGACTCGGCGGCGGAGGCGGACTCGGCGGCGGAGGCGGACTCGGCGGTGGAGGTGGACTCGGCGGCGGAGGTGGACTCGGCGGCGGAGGCGGACTCGGCGGCGGAGGCGGACTCGGCGGCGGAGGCGGCGGAGGTGGGCTCGGCGGCGGAGGCGGATCTCGGTGGCGGAGGCGGACGCGGTGGCGGAGGCGGACTCGGCGGCGGAGGCGGACTCGGCGGGGGCGGACTGGGCGGAGGTGGTGGGCTCGGTGGTGGAGGTGGCGATGGCGGCGGAGGCGGGCTCGGTGGTGGTGGACTCGGTGCAGCTGTGGTGTCGGTGATGCTGACTGTCGTAGATGACGTCGTCACGGCGACACCAGTCGGTGTGTCGACGATTTGGATGTCAAAAGTCTCCGCGGGAGCACTTTCCATCCAGTACTCGTAGACGTTGTCCTGGTAGATGCGGACAATGACAGGGACCGTCTCTACCCCAGCGGGAAAGTTGACTACGGGTGACAGGAGGTCAAAGTCTACACCAGCAAAAGCAGTCCCGTTGAGCGCCGCGAGCGTGACCTGGATGTCGATCTCGGCGTCAAAGGCAAGGGTAAGGCCAATCTCAATGTCAACAAAGCCGGCACCGGGCTCGGACGCAGCTGCAGTAGAGACGTTGAGGCCAACACTCGGGATCTCCTTCGGCACGGCAACGTCGATCCAGATGCAGCACTTCTCGTTGTTGGCAAAGAGCTGGACGCTGGTGTCACAGATGCCAGAAACAGACGATGTGGAAGAGCACGGCCCAGTGCCCGAACAGGACGGTGCCCACCACTCGTAGTTGTACGAGAGATCGTACGCACCGCATTGCGTCACATATGAATCTGTAGAGAGGCCAAACTGATCGAAGAGAGCCACAGCGTAGTCGTCAGACGAGGAGCGACTCGAGAGGTACGCACCAAACTCAATCGTGTTCGCACCGCTGGGAAGGGCGATGACAAAGCTTGACGTCGACGGAGCCGATGTTCCGGAGCTCGTCAGCTCCTCGAGGACCGACACGCCCTCCGAGCCGACAAAGTTTCCAACGTAACCTCCATTGATCTTGAGTAGTGACGAGACCCGCTCGCCTACAGCGTCGAGGTTGTTGGCCACCAGGGCGTGCTGGAGAGTCACCGTGTACGACGCGGCCTGAGCGAGTACGAAACTCATGCGGAAGCCGCCAGAGAGCTGCTGGGCGTTCGTGACCGACGTGTCCGAGGCATCGGCAAGGTAGACCGCGCCAGTGTATGTGTCTGCGCTCCCAAACCCGGTGTGGTACTCGATGACGAGCAGCGGAGCCGACGTGGGGTTCTCAAACGACGCGATGACGCGCAGGTTGGCGGTGCCGGTGGAGAGGCCAAACACAATCAGCATGTCGTTCCCACTCCGCCATCCGGGACGCGACACCAGCTCCTGTACCACCGGCGAGATGTCGGGTGAGACGTAGTCAACGCCCGTGATGAACGCCGGCACGTCGGTCCACGTCACCACCGCGCCCGTAGGGGCGAGCGAGGTAATGCCGTAGTTGTTTGTCGGCATGGCGCCGGCCGTGTCGGCAGCGAATGCGTAGATCGGAATGTTGACACCAGTCCCCGTATCTTGCCCGTTATCATTGTCGCCCTCCATGGCAATGTAGGCGTTTGTGATGGTTGCTCCAGGCGGAACATCCACGCCGTCGAAGATAAGGCCTGTCGTCCATGTGCTCATGCCCAGCACACGAAAGTTGGGAACAACCAGCCCGTCATTGCTCCGCTCAAAGGCATTGCGAGCGCCAGACGAGATACGCACCTTGACCGTCCGCGGCTGGCGGACGCGCCCAGCAAAGACCTGGCCCGACGTTGAAGCGGCGCCGATGTCCGAGAAGAGATCGTCCTGGACGTACTCAAACTCGCGCGGAGCATCCGGCGCAAAGCCAATGGATACCGACGCCGGTTGCGGCGTCAGCGGAATGGTGCTCGTGATGTTTGCGGAGAGTGCTCCCGAGCACGGGTCGCTGTCGAGGCGGACAGATTCCACGGTGGTCTCGACAATCCGCGATGTGCAGCAGGACGAGGCATCCTCCAGCGCCACAGCCTTGGTGGCGTTGTGGAAGAGCGTCTCGCCGTAGCTCCCACCAGAGGCAATGACCTCGGTTGTGTCACCGAAGCCAGAGCCGGACCAAGCCACCGAGAAAAAGTCATCGGCAGGATAGTCTTCGTCGCCCTCCTTGTAGAGGACGCGTATGTAAACGAGGTCGCCGAGTGAGAGCGCCATCGGAGTCGACGCCTGTGAGGCGGTCTCTGTGTACGCGGTCGGCCCGGCATTGGGAGCCTCGTTGTAGGCAACTCGAGCAAGAGACGCCTCGTTGGCGCCTACCCACAGCTCGATCGCAAAGTCGGCGGCAACGTAGAAGGTGTACGTGTTGGTAGCGCCCACACGAAGCCAGCCCGAGAGGGAGAAGCCGTAGTCGACCGATGCATGCAGCGTCTGCTTGCATGCGCCCATGGCAGGTGCTGCTGAAAGCGTCGTCACCTGCGAGTCGATGCAGCCCGGCTTCCGGTCGATGTACGAGCTCGAAGAGGTTAGTGACGCAATCGACTCTCCGTCGACACAGTCAAAGACCTCCATGAGCAAGCCCGGCCACTCAAGCGGTGGCGTCGAGACAACCGGGCAGCTGTCGTCATCGTTGAGAATCGTGATGACACCACGCGGCTTGGCAATGGTCACTGGTGGTCCTGACATTTGCGAGATGTCAAAGTAGAAGATCTCGTCGTTCTCGAGGTCGGTGTCGCCCGTCAGGACAACAGTGACCGAGTAGCAATACGAGCCAGGCGTCATGTTGATCACGCCCGAGTTAGGCACATAATCCAGGCCGCCATTGGCAGTGCCGTCAGTAGTCGTGTACGATATGGCGATGCCCGAGGAGATCGCCGAGGTGAGCACCAAATCGATGACGACGTCGGTAGAGCCCGAGTCACCTTCAACAATGGTTTTGTCGAGGACTCGGACCGTTGGCTCGGGACACGCCTCGGTCGCCCCGACGGAAATGCTGATTGGGAGCGAGACGGAGCGCTCCACGAACGAAAACGTGTTGATGATGGCCTGGTCACCCTTGGAACCGGCCACAAAGTTGCCCCACGCACGGGCATTGACGTTCGGCACCGCGTTGGTGTCGTACGTCGAGTTCACGCCGCAGCATCCCGACGTCGTTGCACCAGGCTCGCCGTTGGGCATGTTGATTGCCGGATTGACGTCTTCGTCACTCCAGTACATGACCTGCGGTTTGGCCACACCGTTGAAGTACGAGTACATGCGCATGCCAGGGTAGACCGTCTCGACATCGACGAGAGGAAAGTGCACCTCGGCCAGAAGGACCCAAACCTCGCAGATGTAGTTGCCGTCGGCAACCTGGACGCCGGACGCATCCTTGCCGTCCCACGGCACCTCGTTGACGCCGTCAACGGTGTCGCCCGACAAGACCGTGTCCGATCCATCCACAATGTTGAAAATGCCATCACCGGATGTGTCGCACACAATGCGGTAGCGTCCGCCGCCAGCATCGGTCTCGAAGCGGAAGCGCGGCTCGATCTGGCCCTCGACCAGAGTCTGGCACTCGGCCGAGTACTCGCCACAGCCGACAGAAACGTAGACAACGCCGTCAAAGATGACCTCCGGAAGCGTGTTGCCCAGCTCTACGTGAGTAGGGTACTTGAGGTAGAGCGGGATCTCCGGCGAGATGGTATGACCTTCTGAAGTGAGGGCCGACTTGTAGGAGGGCGTCTTTGAGGGGATGCCGAGCTTTGTGGCCCCCAGCTCATAGACAAAGCCCGCGAGGCCTTCGAAGCGAGTCTCAACGAGGCGACCACCGAGAACCGTGTCAAAGATGGCCCACATGGAGACGTCGGTAGCATCGGCCTGAGTGTAGGAGGAGGCAGCAAAGAGCCACTGACGAGACCAAAGACGGCCCGAAATAGAAGCCACAGCACAAGTGTCATAAGCGCCTACATCCCAAACTTGCCCAGCTTGTTGGTTCTGGGCAAGAGCGACACGGTAAGAACCAAGCTCTTGTGGAGTGTAGCTCTCACCTGAAGCCAGACGAGCCATGAGACGGTCATCAGAAGGACGATGAATATCAGCTGTTCCGACACCGGTCCAAGACACCGTCTCACACGTAGTATCCACGATATCCACATACATGACAGTCTCTGCACGAAGTGCTTGTTCCACCCCAAGAATGTCCGTACCATCACCTTTGACTGTGGTAGCAAGCACAACCATGATGGCAAGAATGATTCCAGCCATGACCTTGACATGGCAATGTCGACCAGTGGGTCGGATCACTTCTGCACTCGCCCACCACATCGTCCCGATTGGGAAGCGGGGGGTACGGGGAGGGGGTGGGTGGGAGGGGGTTGTGGGCATTGGGTCTAGATTGCATGCGGTTGGTGGCTTCGATGAGTCAACGAAA